ATATTCCTATACTAGTAACTGACTGTGTTAGCCAAATAAACATATAAAGATACATACAAATTCTAATTTAAATATCAAGAGAAAAGCAAGAAATTTATGTGGTAAATTATATCAATTACATTATGACATCATTTCATATATAAATTTAGTAAATACAGAAACAAAAAATTGTCGATGAAGAATGTGCTAGTGAAGGTTTTAAAAAATTAATATAAGATTGCTCCTTGTCAAGCATTTGACATACTCCATTATACACTATAGAAGAGTTCTTCTTCTTTTCTTTTTTTCCTAAGGGAGGGAAGGAGAGGGATTGTTTAGCTTATTCAAATTTTGTGGTTGATATTTCGTCAAATTCTATTAGTTTAGTTATTTATTTATTATATGTATTTTTATTTGATTTAGATATTGCTTTGCTGTTTATTAGAACTATATTTAGTTTTTTGAAAATTCATGTATATTATTATTCTCCTTCTTTATTGCATTCTTGTTTTTTTTTTCTTTTTTACTCTAATAATATGATCTTCTCATTATATATGACCATTATAAGATCCAATCTAACTTGAATAACTTTCTAATTTTCGTGCCTCCTACTCCCACATTTCAAGACTAGCAATCATCAATGCTGAAAAATAATATCTCTTGTGTTGCCTTCACCAAAAAGTTGCCCAAACTTTTACCATCTCCTTAAGTTCATAACAGTCACATCTATGTCTAAATGAAATTGACAAAGCTACATAAAATAAAGATTTTCAAATACTTTTCATCACATCATCATATCCATTACACGCCACCATGTTACCAACTCCAAATTTTTTTTGGATGGATCTGTGACACCCCACCATTTTAGAATATTTAAGAAATTTTCTAGCTTCTATCACAGAATTGCAATTAGTGAGTACATGCTTGAACCTTTTGCAGAAAACTAAATATAAAAATATATACACACGCACACAAACATAAAGCTTGCATGTACTGGTAAAAAATTAATTTTTTTTTCAAAAAATTCTTAATGACAATTCTCCTTTGCATTCATTGCGTCACTTTGTATTTCCTTACATGCTTTTGAAAGGGAAAAAGAGTAGAGATATAAGCATTAGGTACAAAATACTTTGTTTATGGATATAATTTTCTTTCTATTTTTCCTTTTTAACGATATACATTTTATTTTTAGACTGATTATATTTAATGTGACATGTTGATTATTGTTTTGTAGTTATTAGCTTTGGAAAGAAGATGGGACAAATAGAAGTCAACTTGGAAGTTTGTGGATGCAGAAAAGGAATTTGAATGTTTTATTATGTCTTGTATATATCGACATTATGGCTTTAAGTTTTTGTTTTTGTTTTTCTGAACATAGTGAGAGATTGTGTTTTGGTACTTTATTAAGACAATGTTATGACAATTTTGTTATTTCTTGAAATTTGTGGTGATGAGTTATTTTTCAATGATGATATTGTTTTGTATGTGATGGATGAAAATGTGTTTGTTGCATTTACAGGATTTAGGTTTCCAATATTTGTGTTGGAATGGATTTTTATTATATTTATAACTACTATATGATAGCATTTAAAATTGCTATCATAATGAGGAATTTATAGCATTAAAAAAATGTTATCAAAAAGTTTGTTGAGATGCTTTATTATAACATTCGTAGTTAGTTATGATATGGCAAATTGTAACATTACTAGATTACTATAAAAAGAATTTGATAACGTTAACAAACTGTTATCCTTCGGTATTTTTAGTAACTTTTAACTATTTCATAGCATTCAAAAATTGTTATAATATATTTACGAAAGTGTTCAACGATAACATTCGATAAATGTTATTAAAAATGACACACTTTTAATAACATGGGCAAACATAGCATTCCAACGAATGCTATTGTTTACTTTTGATAGCATTCATCGAATGCTATAAATGTGTTTTTTGTTGTAGTATACCACGGGAGAACCAAACACATTGATGTGAGGTTCAACTTTATCGAAGACATTGTGGCACAGAAAAAAGTGATCCTGGAGCACATCCCTACGAGTCGCATGGTTGAGGACCCTTTGACTAAGCCCATTGTTGGAGATGTTTATCTTACTTATGTTAGGGCTTTAGGACTACGTAAGTGGTGATATATGTGTATTTAGTTGAACTCTTATTTTATTTTATTTTTTGAAATATTTATGCCATTAGTATTCATATTTGTTTCTATTACACATTTATGTTTACTACCTTTTGCAATGGTTTGTGAAATTAGCATACACAAAATAAATAAATTTGATGTTAGCAAGCAAGATTGGCTCATTCATACGAGTAATCGCCCTTCGCGCTAGGTAGCGAGTAACGATAAGACTAGTGGCTTATTGTTTTTGGAGCCAAGAGAGAGACTAAAATTATCCACTAGCTATGTCACCTTGGTTAAAGCCAAGATGAGGTCTTGTTAGAGACCGACCATGGATATGACAGTACCCACTTTTCCATGATGTGCTTGTTGTGGATAGCCAGATGCGAGATCTCATTCGATCCTTGAGAGGTGAGCAAATAGAGAATTCGAGTTAAACGCTAGGAAACAACTTGTGCGCTTAAGAGTGACTAGACTAAGATTAATATGGTGTGTGAGTTTAACATCACTCTTTAGAAGATTTACTCCACTATAACATGCATTCGTACTGCATGTACTTATCGGCCTATTAACGAGGTGAGAGAATGGATCCCTGCTTCCTCAACGTGTGAGTCCTAAAAGTCATTTTTTCCAATGACTTCACTTTGTGCCTTTATGACCTTTGACTATGTCATAAGATGAGGAGTTGATGTTCAGCTACTTTGGTATATTGTCTGCGGTCATGTATGATTCGGTTTTAAGGGACATTACTGGCAAAGAGGTCAATTCTGAATTAAATGATATGAAGGTGAAGGGAAGATCATCTAGTTCTACATCTCTGCTCTATATTCACTGTCGACAACTCACATCGCTCTGTATGGGATGCTGATTAAGTGTGAATATAATGCGGGACCTAGGAGGGTCAAACATGCTCTGTAAGGGATTATAAATGTTTTGGACCGATGTAGCTAGATGGGTTTGGGTACATGAGACACTATTTCTATTCTTTTTGGGTTGATGTCTCTATGCTGGCTCATATTGAGTTTCTAGTATAGAGCTCTCACATGCAGGTGTTTTCAGCGGTCACACGGTTTATTGGCTAGTATGAGATTGTTAAATATTTTGGGAGATTAAGATAGAGATGTGGCAGTGACATGCCAACTCATGTGCAAGTGAGAGATATTGGAAATTGGGCCAGGTATTGGACCTGGATTTGGGTGCCCATGTGGCATGACCCATGACCCATATCAGATCATCTAAATAATTTGAATTTGAATTTAAATTATTTTCTATCCTATTTGGATAACCTACTATCACTGTCTATATCTATCATATCTTATCAAGAGATGTGGATAGATAGTTAGATGCTCAGCCTATATATTTGATACGGTATATGAGATGTGGGATGTGTCCAATAACGAATGATTTTTCCCAATCTCTCTCTAACTCTCTCCCATTAGAATAATGATCAAGCTTTTGGATTGTGACTAGTGTGGGTGATACTCATACTGTGGTATCACTCCATTGCTGGGTGTTCTTAGTTCGTGGTGGTGAAGCACGTGATTTACCCACAAGGTTATTCGTTTCGGATTCTATCAAACAAGGTATGGTTTGAATCCTTTTACCTCTTGCATTATCTGTATCTTACAATTAGGAAGTGCTATTACAACCTTGTGCTGATTACTAGCGGAATCAAAGCAAAGCCCAGAAACAGTATTATAGAGAGCATCCCACAGGGGCTCATATGCCGAAACTTTCTTCGAACACTTGGTGAGTGGATTGCACGAGAGCAAATAACAATCAATCTTATAAGCAATAACCCATTACATGAACCAAAGATTCCAATGCTATAAGCAGATAATATACTTTGCTTCAATGGTGAATCAATGCTTTCAAAATAGCCTTCTTGATCGATGGATTCAAAACAAGCGGTCCGTTCAAGATTTCGGCGAATTCTAACAAGAACTTTTTGGGATCGAATGCTTTTTGCATAATCTTTAATCAAAGAGCACCACTGCTTAAAAACGTAGATGGATTGGACGAGAGAATCAACGGGTAATCTTAAGAGTATGTCGAGAATGATATCTTTGGGTAAATCGTTCAGTTCTGCGTTTTTTGCTCTATTTCCTTCTTCTTCCTTCTTCTTTCTCCTTCTCTTTCTCTCTTCTGATGTTCCTTTTTCGACCCTCTGGGTTTGCATTTTCCTGATTTGGAGACTGGGGTTTTTAAATATTCCCTATTTTCTGAAGTGATTATGCTATGTAGCTTGAAAAAGAGTTCCCCTGAATGGCCCAAAAGTGATAAAGGTTGTTTTTGTAATGTTTGGCCTAGTTGCAACTTATTCGATTGACACCACGCGCGTTTAAAAAGAAAAAAAGAAATAGAAGAAAAGAGAACAAAGATATAAAGGAACCAGTTGAAGAAAAAGAAATGAGAGCGACCACCGTTGAGAGCGACCGACGCTGACCATCGACCTGGGTGACCATCGATGACTAGCGAAAAACTCACTATGTTGTTCACCGTCCGTCAATCTCTACCAAGTGTCAATCACTGTGCTGTTCGCCGACCAACGAAATACCACTTCAAAATTAATCTTGATTACTCACTGTACTCACTGAATCTCTCCGTCTGTCAATCTCTGCGAAATACTCCACTTTACTCACTGAATCTGCTTGTGCTTTGTTCAAAGTGAGTTTTTATTTATTATTTTTTTCTTATAAATTTTTATTTTCTTGTTAAGGTTGAATCACTGAATCTCGCCATCCGTCAATCTCTATGAAATACTCACTAAACTCACTAAATTTGCTTTTGTTTTGTTGAGATTGAGTTTTTATTTATTTATTCTTATAAATTTTTATTTTCTTGTTAAGATTGAATATGGGGATTTTTCAGTTTGTATATTGCTTGTGGTATATATATGTATATGTGTGTGTGTGTGTGTGTGTGCGCGAAATGTAATGTAGTGGTTATACGTGTGATGTATATGTGTGTTTATGAGTGATTCTGTGATGTCTGTAAATCTGTTTTGGGGTGGTGTTTAAAATCATAATTTTGATTTGTTTGAATCTGCTTGTGCTTTGTTGAGATTGATTTGTTGTGCAAATGTTAGCAAATACATGAAACTGAAATGAAATTAGAATGTTGGGTAGGTGATTTCAATTAAAAAATCTGTTTTGGGTTTATGTTTATCTTGTTGATTTTCTGTGAAATTGCATTTGTTAGAAAGTAGGAGTAATCCAAAACTAGGTAAGCAGAATTGAAAAACCTGATTTTACATTCAACTCTGATACCCACCTTGTTTTTCATTTTGTAATCCATTTTCATTCTGCTGAATTTTATGATGTTTGCATGACCTTCATCCAAATTACAATAAACTGTTTCACACTTTGCATTTCAGTTTCAAGGTACAATGGACATTGATTCAAACAATCCGGCATTGAGTGAGGGTGAGGAAGTTGAAGAACCAAAGAGTAATCCTTCATTAAATGAGAGTGGTTAAATTGTGGAACCTAAGAAAGGGATGTGTGTTGCCTCAAAGCAAGAAGTGCGCGAGTTTTATGCAAAATATGCAAAAGACCTTGGATTTGCTATAGCTTATAGAACACATAATGTTGGAGCTGATGGGAATGTGAAATACTTTGGAATTGAATGTACTCAAGCGCAGAAGAGGACAAAAAGATCAGAAGTAAACCCCATGAAACCATCTTTGTCATCAAAAATTGATTGTAAAACAAAGGTAAGAGTGACTTTACAAAAGGATGGAAGATATAAGTTGATTCCTAGTGACTCACAACATTTTCTAATGAATAAGAGGATTCTTACTCCTGTGAAGAGAAGATTAGAAATAAACGATGAAGTAGGAATAGGGGTGTTTAGGAATTTTCATTCTATAGTTATTGAAGCGGGGGGAATATGAGGCATTTACATTTGATGAATGAGATATAAAGAATCATATTGAGAATGCTAGAAGATTGAGGCTTAAGATAGGAGATGCCAAATTAGTTGCATTTTATTTTCATAGCATGCAAGAAGAAAATTCAAACTTTTATTCTACAATTGACTTTGATATAGATGGTCGCATATGAAACTTGTTTTGGGCGGATGCAAGGCGTAGGGCGCCTTATAAAGCATTTGGGAATGTTGTCTCATTTTACACCACCTATCTCACAAACAAATATGATATGTCATTTGTTCCGTTTGTAGAAGTTAATTACCGTGAACAGTCAATCTTGTTTAATTGTGGGCTGTTATGTAATAAAATTTGTTTGGCTATTCAAAGAATGGTTAAATTGCATGTTAGCCACTCCTCCAAAAGCTATTATAACTGACCAGTGTAGAGCCATGCAAAATGCCATAGAAATTGTCTTCCCATAGGCTCAACATTGTTGGTGCTTATGGCATATAATGAAGAAAATTCCAGATAAATTGAGAGGATATTCCCAATATGAAGCCATCAAATTCGCTTTGCGAAATGTAGTATATGATTCTTTCACAAAAAAATGAATTTGATGAGGAATGGCAAACAATGATTGCAAAGTTTAGCCTGTATGACAATGAGTGGTTAGGGGTATTATATCGTAAGCGACATAGGTAGATTCCTGCCTATGTGAAAGATATTTTTTGGGCTGGCATGTCAACTACACAATGAAGCAAGAGTATGAATACTTTTTTTGATAGATATGTAAACTCAAAGACTACTTTAAAGCAATTTGTTGAACAGTACGACAACGCATTGAGAAGTAAGGTGGAGAAGGAGACCAAAGCAAACTTCAAATCTTGAAACAAATTGTATGATTGCTTAACGTTGTATGAGTTTGAGAAGTAATTTCATGCAGCCTACACTAATGCAAAATTTAAAGAAGTTCAAGTAGAATTGAAGCGACTACTGTACTGTCATGCGACTCTTGTGAAAGAGAAGGGATCAATTTATACTTATCATGTCAAGGAGGCTATTGTAGTGGGTGACAAAATGAAGAAGGTTTAATTTGTTATCTACTTTAATTCAACTGAATGTGAAATGCAATGTATGTGTCGGTGGTTTGAGTTTAGGGGGATCATGTGTGCCCATTCACTTAGGTCATGTTTGTTTGGGCGGACTGGATTAGCATTCCCATGACTAATAGTCCTAGGACTACGAATCCGTTGGATTATGTATCCTATCTTAACTAATAGTCAAGTTTAAAATAATTAGTCCGTACTTCAATTGTTTAACCAAATATCGGATTAATAATTTTATTGGACTATTAGTCCAATCCTAAGCTCATGTCCACCCAAACAAACATGGCCTTAGTGTGCTCATTGAGAGGTGCATATATGAGGTTCTAGATAAGTACATTATGCCGAGATGGAGAAAAGATTTGGAAAGAGGGTGGATATGCATTCCAACCACATACACGAAATCTGGGGCTGCTCTAAATGCAAAGGCACATGATAACTACCACAAGACATTGGATGCAATTATACAAATGGCTTCTAACGATGATGGTAAACACAAAGTCATTTAACTTGGGTTGAGAGAAATCAAGGATAGAGTCGGAAAAGATGAATCAGGTTGTGCGAGTAATGTGCCACCTTCTAATAGTACTATCCCACCTTCTAATACTTCTCCAAAAAGTCTGCCTGGTCGTAGTACTACAAAGGCAAGCATGACTCGCAAGGTGCTTAGTCCTTTGGTTGCTCACCAAAGAAGCTGTCCATGTACGAAACGGAAGGTTAGCAACGTGGACGAAATAGTGAATTGGTTGAAGGGAAAGACTATAAAGGCTACAAAAGTTCAGGTAAATTTTTTTATCTTGTGCTTTGTATGTAAATTTCAGAATTTTTTTTCTCTCTAACTTTTTCACCAATGTGTGTTACTATAGGGTCGTAAGGTGGGTCAAAGTGAACCTCATAAGTTGAATTTTGGTTGTACGAATGGTGTGGAAGACAATACGAACAAACCGATATGTCTTTGAGGGTTGATTACTTTTTTTTTTTTGGTTTTGATTTGAATGTTTTAAATTATTAATGAAATTGTGTTACTTATATCATAAGGCGTCGCAAGCTCAACCGTACTATTTTCCTTATACAAATGACATGCAAGTGAATATGTACGAACCGGTAAGTGTTCAAGGATTAAATTATATTTTTCCATTGTTTTTATTTTCATGACTTCCAAATTACTAATGAAGAGACTATGTATGTATCACAAGGTACTGCAAGCTCAACCGTACTATTTTCCTTGTATGGATGGGACATAAGAGAGTATGTATGTACCGGTATGTATTGATGATATAACATAAAACAGTTTTGCTTGTTGTGATTTGCAAATATGTTTGTGAGAATTGTTTTTAATATGAGTTACTTTGACATTGAATAGGCACAAGGTAGCGCAATGCAAATGGTGGAAAAAATTGGAAGCACATCTTTGGGTCAATCAGGAATGGCGAACAATATAAGTAGTCAAAGTTCGACAATTGCTTCCAAATTTGTGGACTTGCATATAGATGCGGATTCAAACGCCTCATTTTTTTTTTTTAGTTGCGTACTAGTAATTTTATGACCTTGGTTTGTAAACTTGGGACATTTTGATCTCATATATGTGCTTCGACAAGGTTCACACGTAAATTTATTTTGGGACTATATTCATGATTTTACAAGGTGCTGTGATTTAGTAATGAAATAATTGTTTTAGTAATGGTAATGTCATCATTATTAGGTGTTCATGCTTACTTGAAGAGACAGGGTAAACTACTGAAACCAAACATTTCATTTATAGTCATTGATGACTCAGGAGCCCTGATCAATCGGAAGGTCTAGATTCTACACAGGCTTCCAGTTTTTCCCCTGTATCGACAATAGAACTGTTGTGGAAATATGTACATGAAAGTATAGACATGAAAATGAAACGACAATGCTACGTAACTCAAATTTTGTGGCTCAAAAGTGGCTCAAATGGCCAAAACGACGTCGTTTTGAGTACAGAACAACATAAAAATGGCCAAAACGACGTCGTTTTGGCCATTTGAGCCACTTTTGAGGCACAAAATTTGAGCTACGAGACATTTTCCAAAATCGAAATGTAGAAAGCAAACTCAATCATGATTCCCGAATGTTGGTTGCTTTTAATTTATGAAGTGATACAGATAAATCCGTTTGTAGTCAATAAATTTTTTTAGCACGTAATTTTTGACAATATAGATTATGGTTAGATACATAGATCAAAATTTTGAAGTATAATATGAAGACAAACAAAAGGAGGAACAATGAAACTAAAATGCAGTGACTATGAAGAAAACTAGATGTCTTAAAATCAATTTCTGATATAAAACAATTAACAATGTGCTGTGATTTAGTAATGAGATAACAATGTGCTCTGATTTAGTAATGAAATAACATCAACGACATATTGTTTTCCATCTACAAAAATATATCCACATTCAATTCATTACAACATAGAAAGTAATTTACATCATCAACATAGATTACAAAAATATACTCACATTCAATTCATTACAACATAGATTACCCCAAAACTAACAAAGTCAGTACTTTACATTATCAAATACAAAATCATATAAAAAACAATGACATAAATCATCACCTTCCATTTCTTCTCCATCTTTTGATGCCTTTTACCATGGTCATGAATTTCATTTTCCATCTCAGAAAGTATTGCCCTTAGCTCGTATAATTCTTCTGTTGTTATAGCTTTACGAGGTCCGGTATTGGAACGGATTGTGGAGGTAACGTCCTCATCATCAACATCTGTAAACTTGAAGTAATTGCAGTGTGCCTTGTTACTCTACAATTCATGAAAATCAGTTAATGACAGCAAGCAAACCAATTTCCAAATACTAAAGGATTAATTAAATGCTAACATAGAATAAAGCTTGGTACTTACATATTTTGATGGGCACACAAAGACCCTTGATTTCCATTCTCATTGGTTCATACGATATACATGGCAGTTGTTCTCCCACAATCACATATTCATGGTTTTAATCTAATGTTGCTATTGTTAGTAGAAGAAGAAGCAATTTTTTTATCCGCATAACCAATACATAAGCCATTTCAATTTCCTAAGATGGTCTTCAGTGTAAAATCCAAGTAAGAATCCTAAGATGGTCTACAGTGTAAAATTCAATTTCATAGAATTCAGATTCATATCATTCAACTGTAAAATCCAAGTAAGAATCCTAAATTTACAAGCCCCAAATCAACTGAAAATAGCAATCCTAAATTCATAATCCCTTTAAAAAAATCACATATTCTTGGTTTTAATCTAATGTTGCTATTGTTAGTAGAAGAAGAAGCCATTTCTTTATTTGCATAACCAATACATAAGCCATTTCAAGTTCCTAAGATGGTCTTCAGTGTAAAATCCAAGTAAGAATCCTAAGATGGTCTACAGTGTAAAATTCAATTTCATAGAACTCAGATTCATATCATTCAACTGTAAAATCCAAGTAAGAATCCTAAATTTACAAGCCCCAAATCAACTGAAAATAGCAATCCTAAATTCATAATCCCTTTAAAAAAAAAGAAAAAAAAGAATCCAACTTCAAATAAAAATAATAGCAATTGAAAGCACTAACATTCACAATCCCAAAAATAACAACAATGCAGATTCATAAACACTAACATTCATAATCCTAAATTTAGAATCCAACTCTCAAATGAAAATAACAATCCTAAATTCATAGCCCCCCCTACCCCTGCCGAAAAATAAAATAAAAATAAAAATAAATAAATAAATCCAACTTCAAATAAAAATAATAGCAATTGAAGACACTAACATTCACAATCCCCAAAATAACAACAATGTAGATTCATAAACACTAACATTCATAATCCTAAATTTAGAATCCAACTCTCAAATGAAAATAACAGTCCTAAATTCTAAATTCAATCCTAAATTCCCAAAAAAAAAAAAAAAAAAAATCCAACTTCAAATAAAAATAATAGCAATTGAAGGCACTAACATTCACAATCCCAAAAATAACAACAATGCAGATTCATAAACACCAACATTCACAATCCTAAATTTAGAATCTAACTCTCAAATGAAAATAACAATCCTAAATTCATAATTCCCAAAACAAAATTCATACAATACAGTTATACAATCCTAACTTCAGAGCCCCAAAAAAAATTACAATCCTAAATTTGGGTTTCTATCGTAGCGCAAGACACAAATCATCACACAAAATGATGGGAAAATCATAACTCTAACAATAATTGAAGGCACAATACAAAAATTTAAGCCACAACAAAACCCTAGTTTTGCGATGTCAAGTTTCTATGAGAGGAGTCAACTCCTATATGTCTACCTAACACAAAGACAAGAGGGATGAAAGAGGGATCAGTGACCTGAGTCGGTTTCTTTACCCAACACAGAGACGAGATGGATGAGAGAGAAAGAGAGCACTGACTTGAGTTTTCAAGAATTGAATCGCAGCTCCGATTCTAAAAGCGATGAGCCAAAGAGCGAAAGAGTTTTGAATCCTTGAATCGCAGCTCCGAATGACAGATGGGTTTTGAAGACGAGTTGAATCGCAGCTCTGAATGAGATGGGTTTTGCACCTGAGTTTAATCACAGCTCTGGAGATTTTCAAGAGTTGAGAGAGGAGAGAGACTGTTGGGAATGAGAAAGAGAGATACGGAAGAAGAAAAAGGACAGACAGAAAGCGTGTACCATTTTCGGGCCGTTCGGGGAGAGACATTTTGAGCCACAAATCCTTTTCGTTTCTGAAGAAGGATAAACTAGGGACTGTGATGCTAAGAGTAATGCTAGAGATACAAAAAATTTTACCAAATGAATGATCAAACCTCTCACATGGGTGTGGGGTGGGCCTCACACCCATGTGAGAAGTTTGGTCATTCATTTGGTAGAAAATTTGGGGCCTATAGCATTTTCCGTGATGCTAATACCAGCGTTTTTGTTTTGGGGAATTACATGTAAGTCTTAATAGATAAATTTATTATTTAATAGGTCTTGTAATAATTAATGGTATTTTTTTTTTATCAAATGCTATTAAAAAAATGTTACTAATTGTTAATTTTCAACAATAGTTTGAAAATTCTGTTACAAAAACGTCACTAAATTATAAGTTTTAATGACAGTTTAAAAAAAAAAGAAAAGGAAACTTACGTGTAAGTCTGAATAGGTGGACTATTGTCCAATAGGTGGACTATTGTACAATAGGTTTTATGATAATTAATGACATTTTTCATCACACTATAAAAAATGTCACAAATTGTTAATTTTCAAAGACAATTTAAAAATTGTCACATAAAATGTCATTAATTATAAGTTTTAGCCACAATTTTAAAAAGTCGTCACAAAAAAAGTCACTAATTTTCAACGTTTAGTGACAGTTTAAAAAATTCGTCATAAAAAAAGTCGCTAATTGTAAGTTTTAGTTATAATTTATAAAAACTGTAACAAAAAAAAGTCATTAATTGTCAATTTTTAGCAATATATACAAAAAATCGTCACAAAAATTATTTTTAGCGATAATTTTATTATGACTTATTTTCAATACGATTTGATGAAAATTAAGTCCAATTAGTAAGATCTATTGATAGTTTCGTTTTGCTTTTTGTGTTTTTGTTTTTGACGTAAATACTTAAGCAAATTTTTATATATATAATATAAAGGATAAAAAAATGATATATAAATCTAGAAATTAATTTCAAGGAAAAATCTATTTACAACTTGAGTAGATTTCGAGCCCAATATAACTTGACTTGATTGGGTTGGATAGATAAAAAACGATAATGCTACGTAGCTCAAATTTTGTAGCTCAAAAGTAGCTCAAATGGCCAAAACGACGTCGTTTTGAGTACAGAACAACATAAAAAAAACCAAAACGACGTCGTTTTGACCATTTGAGCCACTTTTGAGCCACAAAATTTAAGTTACGAGACATTTTCCGATAAAAAATTACACCCCTCCTTGGTTGATCTAATTGTTTTTATTATTTATAAAGAAATTAGCAATTACAAATAACAACTAACATTGTATTGATTGTTTGATAATGTTGTTATTCTTCCAGTTTCATAAAACAAGAAAAAAAAATTAAAATAATAAAATCAAAAAAATTGTTTGGTGTATATACATATTTTGAAAAATAATCAATTCATGGGTGATGGCAGTGGTTCAAGGTGGGTGTTGTCAGTGGCAATGATTTAAAATGCGGACCGGATCGATTGGTTGGACTGGTGGAATTTGAACCCGAGTCTAGTTCCGGTCTAAAAGAATCCTAAAACCCGGACTAGGCTAAAAATCGACTTACATTGCGAAAATCGGAAGAACCGCCAATTCAACCGGAAAAACTGGTGACCCGGTACCGGTTTTGAAACAACCCAGCGGTTGGAAATTTTTTAATTTTTAAAAAAATTTCTTCTTTTCTTTCTTTTATATATATATATATATATATATATAAATATATTTTAAAATTTTGACTAAAAATTATTATTTCAAGAGCCTCCTCTCATAAAGAAGAGTCTTATTGAAAGCTTGGGAAGATTAT